GGCGCGCGCTGCTGGGACAGGGACTCTCCAAACGCTCACCGTTGGCGAGTGCCAGGAAGAAGATGGCCACCAACTCAGACTCGATGCAGCAGGGTGAGAGCAAAGCATCCGTCCCGCAGCCTGACCGCGGAGGCTTGTTGGGGCGGTCTGCGTGGGGCCGAGGGCAGTGGCAGGCGGAGGCAGGAGTGTCCCCAGGGCAGGGCCCCTCCTTTCGTGGGGCCCAGCCTGGGCGCCTGCCATACCCCCTTCCTCGCCAAGGCCTCCAGCCCTGCCCGTCAGCCAGCCGGACAGGGGCAGAGCAGGCCTTGGGGGTGACCCCTCAGGGTCACTGCCCTCTGCCCCGCAGAGGTGCTCACTGCTGCTGGCGTTTCTCTCTCCCCTCCAGTGTGCATGCTGTGCCGCCAGGCACAGGCGGACCCAGAGATCTGCGGGTACCTAGTGATTCGGCGAGGCTTCTGTGCCCATGTGTTTTGCCTGGTGAGTTCCTCCGTCGGTTCCCTCCCGCTGTCCGACGGGCAGTCCCTGCCACACTCTCCTCATTGCCTCTCGTCTCTTCTCTTCTGCAGTGTTTTGCCAACAACATCGCTGCGGAACCCGTTCAGGAAGGAGCTCTGGGATTTCACTATGAGGACATTCAGCGTGGAATCGAGGAGGCAGCACAGAAGGTGAGGAACTTTCAGGAACAGGGAGATCTGTGCCTCCCAGCCAGCTCTGGGACAATACTCTTGCTCACAGCAGCTCCACAGAGGCTCCAAAACAGGAGCATCAACTGTAAGCACCTCGTTTCCCCGCCAGCGCCCGCTGCCTGTGCCCTGCCCGGAGCTGTGGGGCTGGCTGTGGAGGCCTGAGGCTGCTGCTCTGCCCTTTCCAGAACTGCTGCGTCTGCCGCCAGAGCGGGGCCGCCATCACCTGCCAGGAGACGGGCTGTGAATGCAGCTTCCATCTCCCCTGTGCCACAAAGGGTGGATGCATCGCCCAGTACTTTGTTCCGTTCAGGTACCACCTCTCCCCTCCTCGCCATCGCCGCCAGCAAAGGACCCAGCCCGGCCCTTCTCACCTCTCCCCTGTGCCTTCCCTCTTCCCCCCAGGGCCTTCTGCAGGGAGCACCGCCCACAGCAGGTGGTGGAGGCAACTCCGGAGAAGGACACCACCTGCCTGGTCTGCATGGATCCTGTGGACAAACAACTGTCCTATATCACCATGGTGTGCCCGGTGTGCCGACATGCCTGGTTCCACCGGGAATGCATCCAGGTAGGAGCTGTTGCTTGTCCTGGGGCACGGCAGGTGCTCAGCAGCTCCAGGGCCTCGCTCATGCCCCTGATGTTTCTCCTGCAGGGACAGGCTCTCCATGCTGGCATTTCAGCATTCCAGTGCCCGCTCTGCAGAAACAGGGGCAAATTTCTCCGAGAAATGCTCACCTTGGGAATCCACGTCCCCAGAAGGTTGGTGTCCTTCTGCCCGGCTCCCAAGTCAGGCGGGTGCAAGCGCTGTGCCATGCCAGGGCCTGCCCCTGCACTCCTGCCTCTCCACTGTCCCGCGAGTAGGGGCTTCAGCTTCACGGAGGAGCTGGAAACAGGGCAGGTGAGAAAGAAGGGCAGGGACGCCCTGCGCCTGCCTTGTGCCGGGGCAGCAGGGGCTCATCTCTGTTCCTCTCTCCATCAGACCGCCAGCGTGGGAGGAAACCCATGCAGTCCTCCCGCTCCTACAGAGGCACAGCCGCTGCGATGCCAGCGAGTGCCTCTGCCCCAGAGGCCGGCAGTGGGCAGAAGAAGACGGGTAAGTTCCCAGAGCTGCGCTGTGGGGCTCTGTACGGGGTCTCTGTCTCGACAAGGGCTCGAAGCGGAGGCACCAAGAACACAAGCTCTGCCGAACAGTGCTGTGCCACGGTCGCTTTGTCCTCACAGCCGTGAACCCATTTGCTTCCCCAGGCCCTGGGAACTGC